TGGGGCGGAGTTCCGGGTCAGGGGTGGAGGAGAGAGCGATGTGTGGAGTCTCTGGCAGGCAGTTGGAGGGCCAGGCGGACTAGGCCTCCCACGCATCTGTCCCCAAGTCCGGTGAGGAGAAGCGGAGGAGCTGGACGAAGTCAGTTGGTGTTCTTGGAAGGCTTATTGCATATGGGTAAGTCCTGCTTGGCGGCCAAAAAATATTTATTGGCATTGGCCTTTTTATTTTGGCTCTTGGGTTGGTGGGATATCTCAAAGGATATTGTTATTTAGTGTGTGGTTTGGGGCTGGAGGCATAGGAAGGGTCCCGATAGTCGTAGGCCAATTATGGTTGAGCTGTTGTTGCAATTGTTGTCCTCCTTGCATAGGGTATGCTCCTCTGATTACAAAGTGTTATTATTTCAGGTGGTATTTTCTTTTAGTTTCTTTGGAGCATTCCGGTTGGCGACTTGGTTTTCCAGAACCTCCAGTCGGCTTCTCCATTATTTCTTTCAGACGTTCGGTGGTCTGATGCTGCGGTGGACATACGGGTTTGCCGTCCCAAAATGAACATGGTAGGTAAAGGTTCATGGGTGCGGATTGGTTCTACCGGGGTTCAGTTTTGTCCTGTTCAATTGTGTCAGCAGTATTAGCCACTTTAAGTTGTATGTTCGACCAAGCTTGTTATGATTATGTTTTGTAGGTTGTAACGGATCGCCTGGCACCCCGACTGGGTACCTCCGTTGAAGGATGCTCCTAGCGCTTCCTGAGGACTCCCAGCACTGCAGCAGACACCACAATCACCGAACCAGAGAAGCGTATACCTTCTCTCAAGCATATGAATGCTGTAGACAGTTTAATAGGAACCATACGAATAGGTTTACTCTCCTAGCAGTCAAACTGGAACAGCATACAATTAATCCTTCCCCCAATAATGAGACGACACTTCACTTTGAGGGTTAAAACAGGAACTCCCTGCACTGTCACATACAGTCTCTTTTATTCCCAATCCACAAACATAGTACAGCCCACAGGGCGTTACAAAATAACCAATCAATCCGTACAATACACCCAGACACTCCCACACAAAATCCTCCCCTCTGCCTGTGATATGATTACTGAACACAATGGGTAATCTCATTATCACCGGCAGAGGAATACAGTTTTACACAATATTTATAACTTCTAAAATATACATATCACAAACATAAAACATACATTTTCATAATCAATCCATTCAGGGGAACAACATATTAAAAAAATGGCACGAATCAGACCAGGGGTTCAAAAGTTAAAGGAAAGTCCTTTGTGACTAAATGAAGCATGGCTTTCTGGCCCAAACCAGTTTCAGAGTCTTCTATCCTGGAGAGTAATTCAATTATCTCCCAGGATAGACACAAGACTCCATTAAGCACATGGTTGCAAAAAGACACAAAACACTTTGAAATACATAAAGTCACATTTACACATAACACACAGACATTTCACATATCCCCAGATAGCTGGGATCTGAGTGCACATTATTAGATGAATGGCACTCAGATCACACAAATAAGCCTTTCTGCAGGGGAAATAAACGGTTTAACCTGCAGGGCCATAGTCCAAAGGGAGCAGGCGAGCAACCAGGCTTCTCCAGTTCACAGTGGCGAGGTTGGTTTCGCCACACTTCTCCCCTTTACCAACTAGACTAGCAGGGTATCTGACCTCCTGCCGGTCAGTGCCCTGGTTAGTCCAGCAACCCACCCACAAAACAGAAACAGCAGTACAGCCCACCCACAATAACTGGTTACTACACCTGCGTAGAGGAGAACTTTGTCCATGTCCAGGTGCCTCACCACGACTGTGTGGGCAGCTGTTAGGCTGCCTTGGTGGGTTGCTGAGTGGGCAGAGACCAGCGGTACTCTGCCCTGATGCCAGTGCTACCACGGAAGTAGCCTGGTGGGAGCCTGGTTGTGGGAGGGAGAGACCAACTGTCTCCCCTCTGGATACACTGCTCTGTGGCTGGGGAACAGGACCGACTGTCCCTACCCCTTGTGCTGTAAGTGCAGAGACTACAGTCCCATCTGCACTGTTGGGGGGTGTAACATCTCCCCTTGCTGGGTTAGGCTGCTGCTGGAGAGAGGGTGTAACAAGCTCCTCTCTCTGAACTGTAAACTGCCGCTGGGGAGAGGGGGTATCAGGCTCCTCTCCCTGACACTCTCTCTGCTGGTGGAGAAGGGGACCAGCTGTCTCCCCTTTCATTATTTTGTCCTGTGGTTGGGGTGCGAGACTGACGGTCTCTGCTCCCTGCAGGACACTCTGCCGCTGGGGAGGAAGGACGGCACCTTCAGCTCCCTGGGGTACACACTGCCGCTGGGGAGGAAGGACGGCACCTTCAGCTCCCTGGGGTACACACTGCAGCTGGGGAGGACTGCACCTTCAGCTCCCTGGGATACACACTGCCGGCGGGAGGGCCGGCACCCCTTCCAGCTCCCTGGGATACACGCTGCAGCTGGGGAGGAAGGGGCGGCACCTTCAGCTCTCTGGGGTACCTGCACTGCTGCTGGGGAGGAAGGGACTGCACCTTCAGCTCCCTGGAGTATACACTGCCAGCTGCGCAGGGGAGGAAGGGGCTGGCACCTTCCAGCTCACAGAATTTTTACACTACTGGGGAGGAAGGGCCTGGCACCTTCAGCTCCCTGGGGTACACACTGCAGCTGGGGAGGAAAAGGCGGCACCTTCAGCTCCCTGGGTTACACAGTGCGCTGGGAGGAAGGACTGCACCTTCAGCTCCTGGGATACCTGCGATCGCTGGGGAGGAAGGACTGCACCTTCAGCTCCCTGGGATACACACTGCCGCTAGGGAGGAAGGACTGCACCTTCAGCTCCCTGGGATACACACTGCCGCTGGGGAGGAAGGACTGCACCTTCAGCTCCCTGGGATACACACTGCCGCTGGGAAGGAAGGACTGCACCTTCAGCTCCCTGGGATACACACTGCCGCTGGGGAGGAAGGACTGCACCTTCAGCTCCCTGGGATACACACTGCCGCTGGGGAGCAAGGACTGCACCTTCAGCTCCCTGGGATACACACGTCTGCTGGGGAGGAAGGACTGCACCTTCAGCTCCCTGGGACTTACTCTGCCGCTGGGGAGGAAGGACGACACCTTCAGCTCCCTGGGGTACACCTTTGAGTCCCTGTAACGCACTCTGCCACCGGATAGGGCGGCCGATACCTTTGGCTGGATCTGCCATGAACTGCAGGTACTCGTCTACCTGGCTCCTTACGAGCTGCACGTATTTCTCCAGGTGGTTGGGTCCAAAGAAAGCCAGCCGCATGGTAAACTCTCTGTCATACTGCTCCTGAGTGTAGCTGGGTGCCATGCTTGCGCTGCTGAAGTTAGTTCTTTTGTAGATAGGGTCGCTGTACGGGTACTGGCGTTGCCCTCACTTTGTAAATCCACGAACTGTGTCTCCGAGCTGCTTTACCTCGCACTAGGACGCCATCCCACCGCTTGCCACCAATGTAACGGATCACCTGGCACCCCGACTGGGTACCTCTGTTAAAGGATGCTCCTAGCGCTTCCTGAGGACTCCAAGCACTGCAGCAGACACCACAACCACCGAACCGGAGAAGCATATGAATCCTCCCAAGCATATGAATGCTGTAGACAGTTGAATAGGAACCATACGAATAGGTTTATTCTCCTAGCAGTCAAACTGGAACAGCATACAATAAATCCTTCCCCCAATAATGAGACGGCACTTCACTTTGAGGGATAAGCAGGAACTTTCTGTACTGTCACATACAGTCTCTTTTATTCCCAATCCACAAACATAGTACAGCCCACAGGGCGTTACAAAACAACCAATCAATCCGTACAATACACCCAGACACTCCACACAAAATCCTCCCCTCTGCAGGTGATATGATTACTGAACACAATGGGTAATCCCATTATCACCGGCAGAGGAATACAGTTTTTACACAACATTTATAACTTCTAAAATATACATGTCACAAACATAAAACATACATTTTAATAATCAATCCATTCAGGGGAACAACATATTAAAAAATGGCACGAATCAGACCAGGGGTTCAAAAGTTAAGGGAAAGTCCTTTGTGACTAAATGAAGCATGGCTTTCCGGCCCAAACCAGTTTCAAAGTCTTCTATCCTGGAGATAAGTAATTCAATTATCTCCCAGGACAGACACAAGACTCCATTAAGCACATGGTTGCAAAAGACACAAAACACTTTAAAATACATAAAGTCACATTTACACATAACACACAGACATTTCACATATCCCCAGATAGCTGGGATCTGAGCGCACATTATTAGATGAATGGCACTCCGATCACACAAATAAGCCTTTCTGCAGGGGAAATAAACGGTTTAACCTGCAGGGCCATAGTCCAAAGGGAGCAGGCGAGCAACCAGGCTTCTCCAGTTCACAGTAGCGAGGTTGGTTTCGCCACAAATTTACTATCCACTTCCACACATGCTCAGTATACTGATGACTCATCCAACTGTTTGTAATCAGATACTAATTAGCATATGCCATGTGGAGATTTCGGCCTACTAAATTTTGACCATGCTGGAATCCCATCACAATACACACACACACACACACACATATATATATATATATATATATATATATATATATATACATACATACATAACAGGTAATAAATATATTCAACCATAACAGATGCATTCTCTGCTGAGGTATATTGCCATAGATCTTTTAAAACATTTCAGACTGAATGAAGATTTGACTGTGTCCCTGAGGTTATTCCATAATTGCGGTGCTCTGTAGGAAAAGGAGGATCGAGCCACTTTATTTTTGTATTGCGGTATGCTAAATATCGTGCTAGAACTCGATCGGAGGTTAGAGGAGGTGGGAACAGCTGGGGAGAGCATTCTGCTCAGGTAGGTTGGGAGCTTCCCAGAAATGCTCATATGCACAAGGCTGGAAAGATGAAGAGTGTGTTGGGATCCAGTGATAGCCAGTTTAGCTCTTTTAACATGTCACAGTGGTGGGTAAAGTAATTGCATTCTAGTACAAAGCAGTAGAATGTATTATATAACTTATTAAGTTTATTAAGGTGGGTTTGTGGTGTGGGTGCATACACTACATCCCCATAATCAGTGACCGGCATTAGCATTTGTTGCACTGTTTTCTTACTGTAGGGCAGTGATGGCGAACCTTTTTGAGCCCGAGTGCCCAAACCGCAATACATGCCAACTTTTTTTCTCCTTAAAGTGCCAACACGGCAATTAAACCCAAATACTGAGGTTTAAGTTTAGAAAAAACAACTCGTACTGTTGTCCAAACTAATAACTTTTGTTTTAAAAGAACACAGAGAGTTCAATGATACAAATTTTAAATAATGATATAAATAGATAAAATTAAGCTTATATTTATTAGTATCTCCAACAAATGCAATACATACACAGACAGACTGCTGAATACACACACACAGTCTGCTGAATACACATACAGACAGACTGCTGAGTACACACACAGACTGCTGAGTACACACACAGACTGCTGAGTACACACACACATGACAGGTTGCAAAATAAATTACACCAAAAAAGCACAAAACTGTCCACACCTTTACATAATATGTTCAATAACAGAAAAGCATAAAACTTATAACAATGATTGACAGGGAGTTTGACTGGAAGCTTTCAGTTTAGGATTGAACTATATACAATAGTAGGGATATCTACGTTTAATTCTATGTTTCATACCTAACAACCTCATATATGAAAAATAGAGGGGATAAGAAACATAATCAACAAAACTTCTTGGAAATGCATGCCTTCCAACAGTCCCACATTTGGCAAGACTGTCCTGTCCCGCTTTAGGTCCCTGGTATCCCACATCTGGTGACACCAATGAAATGTCACTGGGTAGCACAGCCCAAGCGCATCATCAGACGTGCTCGTGCTGTGGAGTGTACACTAACACCATCCAGAGAGAGCTTCAGCAGCGCTCCAGGCATGATCCTGTCAGTAAGGGACCGGCCAGGCAGGCTCTTGTGCCCTTCTTCTGGGTGGATCCATCCATTATCAGCGTTGCAGGTGATGGGTGGGTTGGTAGGTATGTAAATGACGGTTTCTCTTTAAAACTCTTTGCATATCATGAGCACTCCTGCCAACTTCTTCATGAAAAAAAAAATGTGAGTAGTATATGAAGCTCCTTTTGTATACTAGAATTGCAGCTTAATTTGCTTGCTATTGAAACCTGCTGCTACTGTTCTTATGTTGAAATGCATCAAAGATGTATGTACACACCAATAGGAGCACTAGCAGCTAATTTGCATATGTGCTTAAAGGAACATTCCAAGCCCAACTCTGAACACCTTACAATGTCCTTGCACCCTCTTCCCAATGTAAGTATTGAAACTGTTAGCTAAAGGTTTGACAATTTACCTGGGCTTCATCTGGTGACAGTGTTCCTCCACTGAGAACCTGCAAATGGGGAATACTTCCTGCAGGGTGCAGAAAGGGAGGGCCAATCCCTAAAGACATCAAATGGAAGAAAATATATAGCCAGGCACACCTGAGGTAGCTTCTAAAATACAGTCTTTTTAATTTGAAACAAGGAAATGGAGACAATGTTTCCGCTCTGTTACGGTATAACCAGGGTATCGTGGGTTAATACCGAATAAGGGATTCACCTTGATACGGGAATAGCAATTCGCGAACCCTTCAATTCACCGAACCGGAAAAACATACGAAATCCTCCTCCCCTTGATACGGGACCAGCAACTCACGAACACTTCAATTCACCGAACGGAGAACCATACGAAATCCTTCTCTCCTGGAACAGGCAAAAGAATACTCCACAGTAGCAATCCCCCCAATCACGAGACCAAGCTCCGTATTGAGGGTCAAACAGGAATCTGGTTTATTGAGGGCTACATGCCCGTTATTTATGCAGGTCTCCCACCTGGTGGACACTCCCCTAGGGGACCAGATGGAAGACTGGGACAAGTATAGTACAGTAGCCAATCACAGTGGTTCAGGTATAAACACTCCCCTTTGTATGAGCAAACCCCTCCTCTCTATCCTGCAGGTAATTGGGAAGAAATCCAATTATCTCCATGGATAGAGGCAAAACGCCATTTTACACGAGACAATAAAAATACATAAAAATCAATAACTGGAAAACTACCGAATACATTCAGTACATATAACATATCCCCAGATAGCCTAGATCTGAGCGCACATTATTACCGAATGGCGCTCAGATCCAATACACACAGTTCAATCGCCATGGAGCCAAAGTCTTTCACACTGTTCTTTCAGTATACAAATGGCTCCATGGGATGGCTATCTGGGTTAAGTCCATTTGTGAAATAAAAGTCCAGAACGGACTGGCGTTCGTATGCTAGATGACAAAGAAGGGAGGTCGGCAGTTTCAGCGGTGTTCGGGAGAAAAGGTGTCCGTTTTGGGTTCCATAAGATTGCCGATGAACACTGCTGTTCAGTCGTGCGTCTAAGATGGCCGCCACCTCGTGGTCGGCATACGAACTACGACCACCCAGCATACGGTTTCAATTAAGAGGTGTCTGCGGTTAACCACAACGTTCTAATGAGGCCAAGAGGTTAACCAGCAGCACACTTCTCTTCTGGGTGGCCGGCCGTTCGGTCAGTAGTTTTGTTTGGGAGTTTAAGAAATAAACGAACGGGGGAGAAGGGGCAGGTAATTCCACGATTACACATGAAATAAACAAAATAGCAAGATAGTTCTCAGACAGAGGGATCTGTCACAGACTCCTCTCTGACTTGACTTGATAAAGGCTCAGAGAGGAACCGAAACGTTGTCTCCACTTGTTTCAAGTAAAAAAAGATTGCCTTGTAGAAGAAACCTCAGGTGTACTGGATATTTATTTTCTTCCATAGCATTTTAATCCAGGGATATTTGCACTTTTGTGCTGGGTGCAAGTTGCACCCCCAGTACAAATGACTTGGGTTGCCTAATGTAAATTCTGTGCACAAATGATGCCTGTCTTGTGCACTGGTAACAGACATAGTGAGCTTCTACCCTTGCAGGCAGCACTGGAAGCGCATCTTAAGAGGAAGCTTGAGTCTGCCCTCCCTTCCTTTGTACACTCACTCCCTCCCTCATGGCACTGAAAGCTCAGCTCTCCTTTTTTGTAAAAAAATTTTTTACAAATCCTCCTCCTTACCTCTCTTGCCAACCCCTCTCCCATCTCCACTCCCATGCTGGACGCACATTATTTATAATGTCTAATAGGGCATTATAAACTATAAAACACAAAGTGAAAAGGGGTATTAGTACCATATATACTCAAGTATAAGTCTAGTTTTTCAGCACATTATTTGTGCTGAAAAACCCCCACTCGACTTATACTCGAGTCAGTGTCTGTATTATGGCAACTTACATT